ACCCCTCACTGTGTCCTCACCTTCTTTCCTGGTCACTCCCTGCTCCCCAAGATGATGGCTTTCACCCCGTAGATCAACACCCAACTGCAGGACATGGGTTCTAGTGGCTTCGATAAGCATTAAAGAGTCCCACAGCTGCCCCAGGAGCCCTTGGCACAGCCCAGAAGTCTGTTCTGGTGATGAGCGTCTCTGCCTCCACCCAAGCCTGCAAGCAAGCTTGGGAACTGGTCTAGACAAGCCCAGGCCCAGCTGGCCTGAGAACCTTCCCTGCAGGAATGAAGGTAAAGAGGGTGTGTGTGTGTGTGTGTGTATGTGTGTGTGTGCTGTGTGCTGTGTGTCTGCATGTTGCAATGCAAAGGCAACATGCTTCCTACATGAGCCAGCTATAAGCCCAGGGATGGGGGTAGGGTGGCAGTCAGGGCACAACAAGGTATCTCCATTATGTGACTGAACTTTTCCTGGGCACAGGAAGCCCCAAACAGACCAAAGTACAGATACCACCAAAGTCTAACTTGATGAACCAATGAGTTTTATTGAGGTTATATACAGGAATACAGGTGAGGGGTTACTCAGAGCCAAAATGACTCAAAGACAGCTACATCAGCAAAGCCTACCCCAGTACCTGACAGCTCACACAAGCTGGGAACCTGCAGGCCTGGCCTGCAGGCAGCTCAACAGGAGGCAGGTTGGACTGTTGCCTTCAAGTGACTCCACATTCCAGGTTTGGTCTCAGAGCCTTTGGAGGGGACAGGAGGGTGAGACCTTGTTTATCTTTAGCTTTGGCTGTCCTGAAACTCACTCTGTAGACAAGGCTGTCCTGGAACTCACAGAGATCCACCTGCCTCTGCCTCCTGAATGCTGAGATTAAAGATGTGTGGTTGACTCACCTGTGACCCTCAGCTTTTTTCATTTACTCCGGGAGGGAGGGGCCTAATCAAGGGTCAGTTTCAGGGACTTCCTGAATCTAGCTTCAGTTGTTTATCTTCCTGCTTAAGGAGATTCCCCTCTGGGTGGAAGGTTTCAATCGCAGAACAAAGTGTTACGCACTCCCAGAGTCCTCTAGTGTGCTGGCCTCCGTCATCTGTCTTTCTCACTGTTTTCAAGCCTTTGTTAGAATTCAATGTCTCAGAGCCACGGTAAGGGGGCGCACCAGAGCCAACTGCTGTTCACACAACCCCCAGCCTTCAGGCTTCCCTGACTCTGTGGAGGATGCTGGGGTTGCAGCCAAATGGCAAACCTGACTCATCAGAGAGCCTTGTCTGTAGCCAAAGCAGCTCCAGAACCCACTTGCCACCCAGGTCCAGGCCACCTTTATGGCTCACCTGCTCTAAGCTTAACACAGTAGGTCTCCCCATCTAGCCTGGAGTCCCTGTGGTGCTGGGGAAACAGGACATATCCACTCCCCTGTCCCTGAACCTGTGCCCTATCTGTCCCTGTGTCTGGAGCCATTTCTCCCAGAAGCTCCAAGGGGAGCCCCTTGACACTGCCACCCTTCCCCTTTTCTGACACTATGGAAGACTTTCATTTATGTCTTCTGCTTCCTTCTTGGAAAGACGCCTCCATGACGCCAAGATGTTATCCCCCAAGGCCTGCCTGGCCCACAGGATGACGCTCACTAAATAACTGGAGTGGGGAGGTGACCGTTCCCCTTACAGGTTCACAGTCACAGTGATTTTTCTCAAACACGTTTGGAAGCTGGGATTATGTCTCAATTGGTAGTGTGCTTGTGTGGCACGCATGAGACCCTGGGTTAGTTGTGACACCACATAAGGCAGGTGCGGTGGTGCATGTCTGTAATCCCAGCACTCAGGAGGTCAAGGCAAGAGGAGCAGAAATTCAAGGTCATTCTTGACTGCATAGTTGCAAAGTAACTGGGAGGTAGCTCAGTGGGAGAGTAGTCACCTCACTGATGGAAGTCCCAAGGTTCATTCCAGTGCAGCCCAAACAAAGCAAAACAAAATGGAAAACAGCATGGCTTCCTTTTCAGTCTTAAGGTCAAAGTCACTCCTCAGAGAGCTTCTCTGCTCCTGGGTCCATCAGCCCCTCTGTAGGCTGCCAGGTCCCCTCCCCACCCAAATACTGGTATCTCCTCTAACAGCAGGGGCTGGAAGAGGGTCCATCTCACTGAGCAGATTGCCTTGTTTAGTAGTTAAAGGATTGCATAGTGGAGCTGGAAAGAAGGCTCGGCCACAAGAGCGCCTGTTCCTGCAGATGCCCCAGATCTGGTTCCCAGAACCCACTTGGCAGTTTAGAGTTATTTGTAACTCCAGTTTCTGTGAATCTGATGCCCTCTTCCGGCCCCCACAGGCACCAGGCATGCACATGGTTTATATTTATACATGTAGACAAACACTAATACATACCAAATAAAAATAAATATTGTTATTTTGCTTAAGATTAGAAATAGAAGTTAGAAGGTGAAACACGAGCGTGAGCCCGGAACCAGGACCGACGCGACAGACGGAGCACAAGCCACAGAGAGCACATTAATCATAGTTTATTATAGCGGCGGGAGAGCAAGAGGGGGGAGGAGAGAAGAACGTGGAGAGAGAGAAGAACGTGGAGAGAGAAGAGAGTGGAGAGAAGAAAAAGAGTAAGAGAACGTAAGTGGCCGGGCGTTGGTGGCACACGCCTTTAATCCCAGCACTTGGGAGGCAGAGACAGGTGGATCTCTGTGAGTTCGATGCCAGCCTGGTCTACAAAAGCGAGTTCCAGGACAGCTTCCAAGACAATACAGAGAAACCCTGTCTCGAAAAACCAAAAAAAAAAAAAAAAAAAAAAAAAAAAAGAGAGAGAGAGAGAGAGAGAACGTAAGTGGCCAGGGGTCTGTCTTTTAAAGGGGTCCTTTGCACCTGCCTGCAGACAGGGTCTCATGGAACTCTGGGCTGACCAGAGAACTGCCTGAGTGCATTCTGCCAGGTAACAGAGCAGGCCAGCATAATGCCTGAGCCTTTCAAATATAATTTTAAAAAGGGGGTGGGGCCTGGGGTTGGTGGCTCATGCCTTTAATCCCAGCACCCTGGGAGGTACAGGCAGGTGAATCTCTGTGAGTTCAAGGCTAGCCTGGCTTACAGCGCAAGTTCCAGGACAGCCTCCAAAGCAATATAGAGAAAACCCTGTCTCGAAAAAACAAAAAAACAAAAAAAGGGGGGTTGCTGAGTGGTAGTGGTGCACACTTTTAATCCCAGCATTCAGGAGGCAGGGGCAGGTGGATCTCTGTGAGTTCAAAGCCAGCCTGGGCTACACAGAGAAACTCTGTCATACACACACACACACACACACACACTTACACACACACACACACACACACATACACACACACACACACACACAAAACAACCAGCCAAACCAAACCAAACAAAAAAGGAATGGCTGGGAATCATGACAGATACCTTTAATCCCAGCATTTGGGAGGCAGAGGCAAGCAAATCTTTGCAAGTTAAAGGCTAGCCTGGCATACACAGTGAGTTCTAGGACATCCAGAGCTACATAGAAAATAAAAGAATAAAAGAAAAGTGGAAGATATGGCTCAGAACCTGGCTAAGCCATGGAAACGCAGGCAAGGTCACTCAAGTTCCCTGAACCTCAACTTTTGAGTCTGTAAAATGGGGATAATAATTGTATCTCTCTTCCAGTCATTCTCAACATGCTCAGGACATAGTCACTTACCCTGTTACCCATACTTAGTGCCTCCTGGGGAACCTGGTCCAAGCTAGTGCTGCTAAGGATCTGTAGGATGAATAAATATGGATGGAGAGAGACAGAGAAAAGAGGAGAGAAGGAGAAATGGCAAAGGACCTGGAGGAAGGTTCTGGCTTAGACTGAGGACCGTGAGGGAGCTTCCTGCAGGAAGGGAACCTTCCCCCAATTCCAGGCAGAGGAGGAAGTCAGCCTGGTTAGATGGCAGTAGCATCTGTGTGAAAAGGCCTGGTGCCTCACTGAGTGGCCAACCTCTGAGTGCCAAGAGGCCACTTTCCCTTGACTCAGTTTTCAGGATGCTCCTGGACACATGACTGTGCCCTGTCCTCAGGCCAGCTGCTCACTGAGGAGACAATGGTCACTCAGTGGCTCCCCTATCAAGTCAGCAGCCCTCCCAGATCAGGGAAGAGTTCTTCCTTGTGGACAGAACCTCCCCACAACCAGTGGCTCTTCTAGGACCTACCTTGGCGGTCCTCCAAGGAGGACGCATTAACTCATTCTATAGATGCAGGTGGCCACCATCCAGTGGTCATCGGGACAAGCAGAAACCCCATCAGGCTCCGGCTTCAAATCATCTCCTGGACACTTCTAGCTGGGTCACATCAGGGAGAGTCTATCCTCTCTCTGAGCTTCACTTTTTTCAACAGTTAAAAAAAAAAACGGCAAGAGGGCTGGTGGTGTAATTCAATGGTAGATCACTTGTCTAGCAATACAAAGCCCTGGGTTCCATTCTCAGCGCCACAAAAATAAATGTAAAATTATTATTATTTTTAACAACAACAACAATAATAAAAGGGAGTCGGGAGGTGGTGGCACACACCTTTAATCTCAGCACTAGGGAGACAGAGACAGAGTAGGCCAGCCAGGTCTACTGAGCAAGTTCCAGGACAGCCTCCAAAGCTACAGAGAGACCCCGTCTCGAAAAATCAAAATACTGCTACTAATAATAATAATAGGGGAAAATGACAGATAAATGTGTACTTTGGATCACTGGTAAAGACAGGCTGTCAGTAAACGGTCACAAGTGAAGTGTGGTACCCTCCTGGCCATTATTAGTCTTCCAGAGCCTGGCGTGATGGTGCATTGCTGGAATTCCGGCATTTGGAGGATCAGAAACTCAAGAATCCTGACTGCAAGGTGAGTTTAAATCAACCTGGGCTACTGGAGACCCAGTCTCAAAATGAAACAAGACAGCACCCCAGGAAGGGAGACTGCAAGGAGTTAAGTGGAGACCCTGCCTCCTAGCCAGGAGCCAATCAGCGATGGTGGGGGCGGAGCCAGGCTGCTGCTAGGAAAGCGATCTGGACCGACCAGATGCTTTCTGGCGTGGGACCTGGAGCTACCAGCAGCGCTCGTGGGACAGGAGCGGGATCGCAGCGTAGGTCTTGGCCTCTGCCCTGTGACAGCTCCGGACCGGAGGGTGCAGGCGAGCTGCCAGGGTTAGGGGCCATAGCAGAGGGGAAGAAGAACAGGACCTCAGATCCTCTCATCACCCAGGCAGCAGGCATGGGCTGCACCTAGATTCTAACTTCAGCTGGCCCTGGTGGCCCACATGGGCATAAGGTCTATTTTTAGCTCTGCCACAGAAGCCCAGCCACCAGGCGACAGGGGTAACCAGGGTTTCTCAAAGGCTGTTGGGGCAGAGGCACGAGTGGGAGAGACCAGCCTTCTTGCTTCCTTCCACATCATCCTTGGCCACTCCCCAGCCACCCCCAGGAGCCCAGACTAGTTCTCCGTGGTCTGGCAGACAGCCTGACTCTGGGTCAAGGGCAAGGTCAGTGGGTGCAGCCACGAGGGCAGATGGGCACGGTCCTGTGGTCTGGGCAAGGGTTGCATCAGTCCAGGCAGTGGTCCAGGGCAGAGGCCCCTGATGAGGGGGCAAAGAGTGGCTAGGCTGTGGGATGCTCAGAAAGCCAGGGCCGCCCACAAGGCCAGTCCCACAGGTGGCCAACAGCACTGTTTGGACTTAGGCAGGGAGCCTGCCTTCAATGGGTCTCAGTCTCCCCTTCCACGCAGCGAGAGTGCCGGACCAGAGCGCTGACTCTCAGATCCTTTCTCCTGCTCTGGGGTCCCCCACCTTCCCTGTTTGCTACGGAGGTTCCTAACGTCCTTCTAGCCCCGCCTGTGGGTGGCCACATGCCCCTGTGGAGAACAAAGTCCTTTTGGCTGGCTCTGTCAGTTTCCTGGCTCCTCCTCATTCTCCTGGGAGTCTTCCCCCTTCGCCTGGCAGTGCCACCGGGCCCTCCACCAGGGCGCTCCCGAGGCTGGCCCCACTGGCTAGATGCTGCCTTCCTACAGAGTTTCTCCCAGTCTGAGACACTCCCAGAAGATGCTACACAGCTTCCTCGAGCTCCCCAGGGGAGCAGCTGCACCTGGGGAGCCTGCTTTGACACCTCCAAATGTAAGGGAAATGTCCTCAAGATCTTCGCGCACTCCCCTGCTGGTACAACCACTGAGGCTCACCGCAGGATCCTGGACTCCTTGGAAGGCTCCCGATACTATGCACTTAGCCCAGCAGAAGCTTGCCTCCATCTCTTCCTCCCCAGCCAGGACCAGACATGCGGGCCCCTGCCTCCTCACTGGAATGGAGGCCGGAACCATCTGGTCCTCAGTCTGTACCCAGCCCCCTGCACCAGGCTGGGACAGGCGATGGTAGCTGAGGCTACCCCCTCCTTGGACATCTTCCGACCAGGTTTTGATATAGCGCTCCCATATCTTCCTGAAGCTCACCCATTGCAAGGTGGAGCTCCTGGGCAGTTGCAGCAGCACAGTCCCCGGCCCGGCGCCACCTTACTGGCCGTGGCAGAGGAGAAGGGCAGGTGGCGAACCACGGACACCCATGCCTCAACCTGCCCTTGGGGCAAGCACTGTGAGCAAGACCCTGGACCCCATCAGTAAGTAAACCTACCCGTGGGGAGTCGAAGGGAGGGGGCTGCCTTAGGAGCAAGTCCAGAGGATGGAGTAAAGATGGAGAGTGAGGTCCTGTCCGGGGAGCTAGTCCTGACAGACAGTCTCAGCAGCAGTGGGCGAGATAGGGTTAAGAGGAATCCCACCAAGATGATTTGCCTCAAAGGGTGCAAAAGGCAGTTTTTAGAATTCTCCCTTGGGGATCGTAGAAACATAACATGGCTCACTCCTACTCCCCCCTCCCCATTCCTGTTACCCTGGTCCCTCCTACTCTTAACATTTTATGTAACAGACATTTGTAAATCACTCCGGTATAAGCACTTCCATAAACAATGGCTGGGGGGGTGCGAGAGGAGGGCAGATCAGTCATACAGTGTTTGCCTGTGAAACATAAAGACAGGAGTTCAAGCCCCACCACACGCCCACCTGATGTAAAAGCCCAGTGCTGAGGAGGGAGGAAGATCCCTGGAGATCCTGGCAGCCAGCATAGCTGAATGAGTGAGTTTCCGGCTTAGTAAGAGACTCTGCCTTAAAAATAAAGTAGTGATGGCTCGGTGGGCAAAGGAGCTTGTCACCAAGCCTGATGACCTGAGTTTGGTCCTGAGACCACAGCTAGAGAGAGGTAACAGACTCCTGGGAATTGTCTTCTAACGTCCACACACTCTCCAAGACACATAGGCACCCATACACACAGATAAAAACATAAGTGTAAAAAAGAAAATAAAGCGGGCCGGGCGTTGGTGGCGCACGCCTTTAATCCCAGCACTCGGGAGGCAGAGGCAGGCGGATCTCTGCGAGTTCGAGGACAGCCTGGTCTACAGAGTGAGTTCCAGGACAGCATCCAAAGCCACAGAGAAACCCTGTCTCGAAAAACCAAAAAAAAAAAAAAAAAGAAAAAAAGAAAATAAAGTGGAGAGTGACTGAACCTCTGGCCTACACACACACATACAATATATATATATATATATATATAATAAAATACTTCTAACTGCTATCAGTAAAGAACCTGTATTCTAAAGATGATATAGGTTAGGTAACTTACCTATGGCCACCCGGCCAGAGTGACCACAGCCAGTATTTTTGTTTTGTTTTGGTTTGGTTTTGGTTTTTTCAAGACAGGGTTTCTCTGTGTAGTTTTGGAGGCTGTCCTGGCACTCGCTTTGTAGACCAGGCTGGCCTCGAACTCACAGAGATCCGCCTGCCTCTGCCTCCCGAGTGCTGGGATTAAAGGCGTGTGCCACCAACGCCCGGCCACAGCCAGTATTTTAATCCAGAACTATCTGTCTCTAAAACCTTCAGTATGACAGTTCTGTGTTTTAAGCAAGAGTTATGATCAATCCTGCAAAGGCCTCAGGGGAGCCACAGAGACTGGTAACCGGTCCCAGCTGGAAACTGCTCTTGTGTCTAATTTTGGAGATTAATCTCTCAAGGAAATAACAGCCTTTGATTTTAGAAAGATGACTTAGGGCAGATGCAAAGAACTTCCTTCCAGAATGAATGCCTGCGTAGACATGAGGGCATGGAGAGCTTGTATAGAAACAGCCCTCCACCTGTGCTGGTCAGCTGGGCACACTTTCTAAGTGACCTAAGCCTGTCCCTCCTAATTTCTGAACCCTTATGTCTCCAGAAGGCCACCAACACCAACTTCTAAGGTTGCCCAGGTGGTGGGGCCCAGGGCTCCCTCTCTATCACCCCAGGGCAGACCTGAGCTTCTAGCCCTCTGGTGTCTCTCTTTTGCCCCTTCCTGGGCCCCCTCCCTCCCCGCAGCTGGGCTATTCTGAGCTCAGTTTCCCCCAGGACTCTTTTCCCTGGCCAGGCTCCATTTCTACTTGAGGCTCTGGGCTTGAAGAGAGCCAAATCCTGACCCTCCTGGAGGCGCTTGAAAGACCTCCCAGGAGCCTGCCCTGTCATTCCCACAGGCAGCCCTCAGGCCCAGAGCCTCATGGAACTCTCCTGTGGTGACAAGGCTCCCAGTGTCGTGGTACCTTCCCCTCTCTTTTCCCACTGTGCTCTCCTGACTCTTGGGGCAAACTTTAGTTATTACCATGTGTCTGAAGGAAAACCGTTCTGGTGTAGCATAGGTCACCTGTTGATACCTGTGTAGTAGTTGTTTTCTTTTTGCCCTGGCCTGCTTGGGAGGCTCAGGGTAAACCCTGCTGACCTTGAGCACACAATAATTCTGCTGCCTTTCCTCCCGAGTGTGGGGCTGTGTCTTGCAGGTGTGTGGCACTCCATCCTGCTCCGGGCAGCATTTCCCATGATGAGTTTATTCCCGAGATCTGTATGTGGCAGTCCTTCATTGTCCTCAGTTTCTCAGAAGTCCCTGGCAGCTGCCTAGGCCAGACAGCGTACGAACAGAGAGAGGGAGGCCAACCCCAGAAGACAGCCTGAATAACAAGCACTGGCCAGAGAAGGGCACTCCAGTCCCTGCCACTGTCCCACATTCCCTGGCTGGCAGGCACGCAGTGGCGGTGGAGGCTGCCCAGGGGACCGTGCTGTACCTGCCTTCCTCCATTGTTGGTGAATCTCCCAGCATCCTCCACAGGAGGTGTCCGTCCCCACCTCAGGGCCCAGGAAACACTGGAGTTGTGTGTGGGGAGTGTCAGGGGCCCTCTGCTGCCCAGGCCCCTCCACTTTTCTGGTCAAGCACTCCACGGGGTTGGAATTCAGAACTCTCCTTCCTGCCCACATCAGTCAGTGTTTTTCCATGTTGCTTGAATGGTCTCCTGTTGCCTTGTAATAAGGGCCCGCCCACTGAAATCGTAATGTCTTTATTTTTATGAATAGGTGATTCATTCACAGTATGAAGAATTCCAGTGGTACAAAGGGGTACACATTCAAAAGTCCCCCTCCCGCCTGGCTCGACCACTCGGGTTTCCTTTCTGGAGCCGAGCGCTGGTTCCATCATCTTGTGTGTCTTTCTTTTCTGGGCAGCTCTGTACACCCAGGGCATATGCGGGTATCCCGTATACCACTTCTTCTGTCGGTTGCTTGGGTTTTCTGAGTCAGGATCTCCTATAGCCCAGGCTAGCTTTCAACTCACTGTGTGGATGAAGACAGTTTTGAATGCTTTATCTTCCTGCTTCTGCCACTCAGGTACTGAGATTACAGATGTGTGTCATCATGCCTGGCCTCTTCTCCATTTCTAAAATTCTGTACATGCCTGTGATGTACATACATGTGTGCTAGCTCACATGTATGTGGTCACACATGTGTAGGGGTACATGCACATGTGTGTGCACAAACATGGAGACCTAGAGTTGATGGCTGTCTTCCCCGATTGTTCCCTGCCTTATACATTGAGACAGGGTCCCTCTCTTGAACCCAGAGCTTGCCAATTCACCTAGTCTAGCTAGCCAGATTGCTCACAGGGTCCCATCTCCATATACCTCATGTTGACATTACAAATGGACTGCCATGTCTACTTAGCATTTCACTGGATGTTGGGGAATCTAAAGTCTGGTCTCTTAAAAATATTGTTTATTTATTGTTTCACGTGTATGTGTGTGCTTGTATGCATTTATATGTACCATATGTACAAAGATACTTTAAGAAACCAGAAAAGGTCAGGCAGTGGTGGTGAACACCTTAGTCCCAGCACTCAGGAGGATGTGGATCTCTATGATTTCAGGGCAGCCTGGTCTATAGATTAAGTTCCAGGATAGCTAGGGCTACACAGTGAGACCCTGCCTCAAAAAATAACAACAACAAACAAACCAAGAGAGAGACAAGAGAGCAGAAGAGGGCATCAGATCCCCTGGAACTGGAGGAACTAGTGTTACAGATGGCTGTGAGCTGTCATGTGGGTGCTGAGAACCAAACCCGGGTCCTTTGCAAGAGCAAGGCGTGCCCTTAACTGCTGAGCCAATTCTCCAGCCTCCAGCCTGAGGTCTCTGTGAGGCATTTTACATGTTAAGCCGTATTTCCACCCCCTCCCCATCAAAAAAATTTACTTGGTTGTCCATCTTTACATGGGTTCCAGGAGTCAAACTCTTCACCCATCTTCCCATTTTTAAATTTTTTTTCTGTTTTGTTTTTCAAGACAGGGTTTCTCTGGGTAACAGCCCTAGCTATCCTGGGACTCCCTCTGTAGACCAGGCTGGCCTGGAGCTCACATAGATCCTCCTGCCTCTGCCTCCTGAGTGCTGGGACTAAAGGTGTGTGCCACCACCGTCTGGCCGATCTTTTAATGTAAATTGAGCAGATATTTCCTTACCCTGCTCCCACCCCGTGGATGGCGTGTGTAGCCCAGGGACACTTTGTGAAACACACAACAACAGCTTCAAAAGAGAAGTGTGAATGTTGAGGTGAAGGAAAAATTTTCCATATACAACATTACCTTTTTATATACCAACCCAGTGTTTACATATAGTTTGAATATTTTCCTCATGGTAGGAGTGACTGCAAAGGCCTAGGACCCATGGAAGTCACAATATGGCTGTGTCATGGCCAGGCTCTGGTAAACCCCACGGCTGTGGGCAGAGCCGTGCCGTTCATCATGGGCTCTGAAGTCCTAGGCCGTGGTGCATACCGTAAACCGTAGAGCATCCTCAGACTTCCTGGTGGTCAGCACACAGAGACGCGAGTCCCCTCTCTTGTCCTGCTCACCCAGCCTCTGCCTCCACACACTGGGAATGCACCATCTCCAGGGACCCCCTCCTCATAACCCTCAGCACCCTCCACCCCTGCCCTCCACTAACTCAAGCATATCAGGGCGGCAGGCGATCAGTGGCACAGTGTAAGGCGGAGGGAGGCTATGGAGCAGTGATTCTCAAGCTGTGACCATCGGAAACACAGGTGTTTACATTATGATTCTCAACAGCAGCAGCATTATAGCTAGTGAGCTAGCAATGGAAATATTTTAATGCTTGGGGATCACCCCAACATGAGGAACTGTATTAGAGGGCGGCAGCGTGGGAAGGTTGAGATCCACTGCTCCAGAGCCTGCTCTACTTGGGAACGAGGCATGGCTTTGGGGCCCCCTCGCCTGTCAGAGAGGACAGCAGAGCAGTGCTTTCCACCTTGGAACTGCTGTGAGAGAGTCCCCGCGCATGGAGAGCACTTAGAACTGTGCCGGGAGGGGTTGGCTGAGACACCAAGGAGGGCTTCCTGGAAAAGGCGACACCTAGCCAGATCTTTGCTGCAGAGCAGCAGCTCCGCATGTGAGGCAGTGAGGGCACTCAGGATGAAGGGGCTGGGTGTGCAGAGGCACAGAGGTAAGATGGAGAGGAGCTAGAAGCCAAGAGGGACAGTCAGTGCAGGGAGCCCCCTTTTCTCTCTGTGAGTTCCTTTCAGTCCCATACAGCTTACTGGGGGGAGCTGGGCCTGCCTGGCCAGTGTTATGGCTTTTATTGTGATAAGGGGGTGATGTTCGTTCTGTGGCTCCTTCCAGAGGCTCCTGGTACACACCTGAACATACCCCTCATGATGGTTGACATTACCAGGGATTGAAACTGGCACACTTAGTTCTCACCACAGCCCAGTCCCTCTCCTGGAGACTCAGTTTCTCTCACTGGTCAGAGGTGCTCATACCAAAGCTTTCGGGTGCTGCTGGAGACCGGGCTCAGCACAGAGAGCCGCTGAGGAGGCTCTTGGTGCCCCCTGTCAAGCACCTCACTGAGCACGGTGTACACCCATAGGGTCTCCTCTGACTTTTTCTTCTCCAGCTGTTGTCAGCATTGGTTCCCTGGGCTGGCAATCCCAGAGAGGCTGTGGCTCTGGACTCCCTCAGACTCACTGGCACAACCTGATCAAGGCTCTGGGGGTGGGGGAGGAGGAGGGGAAACAGAGGAAGCCTGTCCTCCAAGACAGGCCTGTGGGCAAGAGCTTCCTGAGTGGTTCCAGGCTGGAGGCCCAGCCCACCTCAGTACAGAGAATCCTTTCATGGCTAGGCCACCAGTGCAGGAGGGCTGAGTCCATGGGGGTCACTCAGGTGACAGGGATGGCTGGGTGTGGGGGTCACTCAGGTGACGGGGAGGGCTGGGTGTGGGGGTCACTCAGGCCATGGGGAGGGCTGGGTGTGGGGTCACTCAGGTGACGGGGAGGGCTGGGCCAGAGCAGAAGAGAAAGGAAGGACATAAGATCAGGCACCTCCCATTTTGTAAGTGAGGGAACTGAGGTACAAGGAAGAGGCCACAAGGGCACACAGGGTTTCTGAATCCCCACAGAAAGTGAGCAGAGAGGCCAGGGTGCTGGTCCTGGTTACTTTACTGTCAGGGGTGGTGATGCGTCTGGGGACTTGGTGGGAGCCAACATCTTGTGACTATGGGAGGGTCACTGCAAGGTCACTGTGGCCCCAAGCACAATGAGGGACGGTGTCCCAGACTGTGTCCAGAGATCTTCCTGTTCCGTTCAGGACCCACCCAGGAGAAACCCTACCCAACGCCACCTTCTGCCTCATTCCTGGCCACCGATCTGCCGCCTCCTGCTTCCTCCAAGCCCTTCAGGTACACCCCAACCCCAGCACCCCAGCCTGCGCCTCCACCCTTGAGCTAGCGGGAGTGCTGGGCACATAGGAAGTGGGTTCCCCGCCCCCAAAATACTCTCCTCCTTATCCTTCCCCAGGGCTGCTACCTTGGACTGGGGTGGTGGTGAGTGTGTGCAGGGCGGGGCTGGGCTCCCCAGTGACTGCCCTGCCCCCCAGGCCGGCTGTATCCCTGTGCTCCTCAGCCCACGCTGGGAGCTGCCTTTCTCTGAAGTCATCGACTGGACCAAGGCAGTCATCATTGCTGATGAGAGGCTCCCGTTACAGGTAGCTCAGGGTCCCATGGTGGTGGGGGCACTTCAGGGGGACCCCAGCAACTTGGCCCTCTTCTAATAGGCTTTCCCATCCCCGTTGCCTCCCTCTGGGGCTCCCATAGACACAGATGAAGGTGGAGACTCTGGAGGGCACCGAGAGCAAGTTCTGAGCCACTATGAGCCTCAGTTTCCTCATCTCTACAATGGGATAAGTTAGATCAGGTGATCTTTGGGGACCAGCTGAAAGAAAATGAGTAACAACCTGTGTCTTTTCCATCTGATGAAACTGATTTTGTCTGGGTCTGAAGAACACATGAGAGCGCGCGTGTGTGTGCGCGCACACACACAAACACACACGAGCACTACCATTTATTCACTGAGTCTCCACATTACCTAAGCACTAAACAGTCATTTTCTATTTGAGTCTTTACAACCACATGAGGGAGGTGTTTAATGCACCCATTCCACAGATGGGGAAATTGAGACTGGAGGTGTTGTGACAGTTTGCGTCTCCGTGTCTCCCCCTCTCCAGTTGGGTATTTTGGGTAGGGTCCCATGTAGCCCATGCTGGCCTCAAACGGCCTATGCAGCCTAGAATTATCTGTTTTTAAAGATTTACTTAGTATATATGCAGTGTTCTGTCTGCATGTATCCCTGGAGGCCAGAAGAGGGCACCAGATCTCATTACAGGTGGTTGTGAGCCACCATGTGTTTGCTGGGATTTGAACCCAGGACCTCTGGAATAGGCAGCCAGTGCTCTTAACCTCTGAGCCATCTCTCCATCTACCCCCCCCCCCAACATACCCCGATCTTGAACTTCTGGCCCTCCTGCCTCCTCCAGCTCCTGGGATTGCAGGCATGTGCCCATGGTGACAGCTTGCCTCAGGCCTTGCCCATGCTCTGCAGGCAGTTTGTCGACTGAGTCCGTGTCCCCTCCCCCGCCCCAGCCACTCCTGCCTTTTTTTTTTTCTTTCTCTGTTTTTTAAGCAGGGTCTCTTAGTCCAAGCTGGCCTTGAACTCAAGACCCCCTGCCTCCACCTCCTGGGCGCCAGGGCTTGCAGCCACCTCACCTAGCATTAAGTGTCACTTAAAACCAGCTCTGTGTGACCCTGAACACAGGGTGCAGGTGTCTGGAAGCTCCCTGTTCCCAGAGCTCTGACATCGACTTTCTCCTTCCCAGGGTCAGTCAGTGCCAGCCTCAGGCCTCCTCTTTTTCTCCCTCTGTCCTCCAGGTCCTGGCTGCCCTCCGTGACATGCTCCCTTCAAAGATTCTCTCCCTGCGCCAGCAGACCCAGTTTCTGTGGACAACTTACTTCTCCTCAGTGGAAAAGGTCATACACACCACACTGGAGGTGAGGGGGCTCATCCGGCGGCGCCCCGGACTCCCCTTCAGCCCTTCCCCTCTCCATCCTTCTCTTCCGGTGGTGGGGGTCCTCCCCTGGAGCTTCTGGGAAGACCGGGCTGTGGCTGGCGATCCTGGGCACACATCTGCCCCCAGTCTTGAGTTAGCCCATGTCTGCGGACGCCGCCGAGGCCCGGGATTCCAAGCATGGGCTCACTCTACCCGATGGCAGAAGCAGTCTGGAGTGCTTTCGGGAAAGAGTCAGGCTCACTCAGAATTTTGAGTCCTGAAAGGATGGTATGACCCCACACTTGTGTCTGTGGGAGCGAGGAAAGGAGGGAAGGCTGTGTCACCATCTGTCACCGATCCATTCCTGCTGCAGAACTAGGCTGCTCTGGCTCCTAGCTTCTCCGCTCTTCTGCGCTGGACAGAAAGGTGTGGCCTAAGGGCCCTTGGTAGAGTTAGCTCCTCCCATCCCACCACTCCTCAGGCCCCGCCTCTTTCAGGTCTGCCCCTCCTCCGGCCCTACCCACAACCTGCTGCCTGAACCCCACTCGGCTAGCCCACCCCTCAGCACAACCGCCGCCTCTTTCACAGATCGTTCAGGACCGGATCTGGGGTACATCCGCTCACTCCTCACTGATGTGGAATAGCCCCCCGGGGGCACTCCTGGCTCTCCCATCTTTTTCCACTAGCTTGAAGGATTTCCCCTTCTATCACCTGCAACAGGGTATGTCCTGGGGGTGGGTCACCTTGAGGTGACCTTGGCTCTCCCCAGATTTGCTCCAGCTCCATCTGTAGATACTCTCAGACTCTAACATCTCGCCTGGTTCTTTGGGGTTCCCGACTTGGGTCACTCTCCAAGGGGATCCACCTCCTCCCTAACTAATTGCCTGTGTCTCCTTTCCCAGGCTCCAGCCCGGAGAGCAGTTTCAGCGCCCTGATCTGGGTGGGGGTCTCCGGCGAGCCCCTGCTGAAGCTTATCCAGGTGGTGGCAGGTTCCCGGTACTGTGCCCAGGTGGGCCCCTCCCCCAGCTGGAGCCCTGGGGCGCAGGGTGAACGAAAGGAACCGAGCAGGGCCCCAGATGACCACATATCTGAGGGGGGAGGCACAGGAGGGATTTCCAAAGGTTCTTGCTGACTTTTAAGTCTCAGTGGTCTTGTTCTTTTCTTGAACTCCGTCAGAATCGGTGAAGCCCCTGGAAGACCTGGTGCTTCTTGGTGTGGCTGGAAGGAAGGATTCATTCATTCTCTCACCTTGAGACCAGACTGCTGCATGGGTTGCCAGGTGTGGCGGCTCATGCCTATGATCCCAGCACTTGAGTCAGAGGGGATGCTGAGAGTTGGGGGTTAGGCTAGGCTAGCCCATGCTACCCAGTGAGTATAAAGCCAGCTAAGATTATGTAACAAGATCCTGTCTAGAAAGCCATAAAAACAAACAAACAAACAAACCAAGCAGGGCTGGAGAAATGGCTTATTGGTTAAGGGCACGTGTTCTCTCAGAGAGCCCAGGTTCAGCTCCCAACACCGACATGATGGCTCACAACCATTGGTGACTTAGATTCCAGGGGATCTGGTGTCCCTTCTGACCTCCATAGGCACCAGGCGGGCAGGCACTTGGCACACAGACATGCAGGCAGACCCTTCATGCACATAAAATAACAAAGCAATCTAACAACAGCAAAAAGCCACCAAAGAATGCAGGCTGATTCTCAGACGAAGCAGGTGGCTAGGCTGGGGTGCGGAGGGGGCTCTGCAGATCGGCACTGAGCAGGCAATGACTGCAAGCCTTAGACAGAAGATGGGGGTGGCCTGTGAAGAGTGACACACGACTTTAACCACAGCACTCGGGAGGCAGAGGCAGACTGGTCTACATAGCGAGTTCCAAGACAGCCAGGACTACACAGGAAGAGACCCTGTCTTGGGTGGCCACACTCATTTTTTTTTGACAGTTTTATTTTATTTTTCCAGACAGAGTTTCTCTGTAGTTTTGGAGCCTGTCCTGGAACTCTCTCTGTAGAGCAAGATAGCTTCAAACTCACAGAGATCCTCCTGTCTCTGCCTCCTGAGTGCTGGGATTAAAGGCGTGTGCCACCACTGCCCGGCAACAGTTTTACGATTTAGCCTTGGTTAACCCTGACTAGACTCAAAGATCTGCTTCCTCCTGCCTCCTAAATGCTGGAATTAAAGGCATTCACCACCATCCCTGTCTCAACCAGAATTCTTGCCTTCCAGAAGGCCAGAGGCAAGACTCAAGATGGCAATGAAGGGACATGCCCCTCTCGTGTGCATAAGTAGCTGCTCTCTGCTCCATCCACCCTGAGAGAGACCATCCCAGGACTCGCCTTCAATCCCAGTCCCAGATTTCAGACACGCCCCCTTTCTTCCTAGATCCTGATCCTCTGGAGCAGTGAGAAGCCACCCCCTGACAGGTGGCCGGAGACAACGGTGCCCTTGACAGTCATTGAGGGGCGCAGGAAGGTGAAGGGGGAGGACTCTTGCTGGGGACCAGGGAGGACTAACACGGGATGTTTTGAACCGAGCTGGGCTTCTATACTGGTCTGATGGAATCAGGCCATAGGTTCTAGCTGGACATCTAGTTGGAACGATGCTCTTACACTAAAGCAGGTTCCAGCGGTACACACTTGCCTGCGATGTCGTGCAGGGTTCTGGGTTCCATTTCCAGCCCTGGGAAATACACTTCTAGAGCACTGAGGTTCCTGTAATATGGGAGGCAAGAGACTGCATGGATGTCTCATGGGCTCGTGGAGAAATGCAACAGAGAGCAGCACCATAGGCTGGAAAGAGAGGGAGCTGAGGCCCTGCACACTAGGCAGAGACACTTTTATCTCCCCATGTCTGAACCTTTCAAATAGTTGACCCAGGATTGATAAGAGCATCTGATGTGATAGCAGAGGGAACCCTAGATGCTGGACTAAAGGGGATGCTAGACTAAAGGGCCCTTGGAGACGAAGGGGAAACTGCAATCTAGGCTTGTGGGCAGGCTTCTGTGTTCCTGGCTCCCTCCTCTATGCCCTATCTGAAGGGCTCATTCTTACTGGGCGGGGTTAGTGGGTGCTTCTCATGGCCGAGTCACCCTCAGCTTGCTCTGTCCCACCACAGGCCAGTGACCGATTCTTCCCGTACAGCGACATCAGCACCAATGCCATCCTTAGCCTTGATGCCCACAGCAGTCTTTCTACCAGTGAGGTGAGGGGGGCCCACAAGATTCCAGTGTGGTGGGGGCGGGCCCAAAGGCACCGGAACTTCCTCAGGCTCCCAAGCCCTGAGATCCAGCCCTTTGCTCCGATCTGGACAAGGTCCCATAAGTTTCCCAGAAACACTCATGTTAAACTTCTGTAAAACTCCAAGCCATGGCTCCCAGCCCCGTCCCCTAAGCCCTGCCCCAACGCCTCAGGCAGACAGGCCTCCCCACCATATGCTATAAGGATGTTGGTCTGAAAGTTCCTCCTCATAGCTCACTTAAATCCCTCTGCAGGTGGACTTTGCCTTTGTGGTGTGGCAGAGCTTTCCCGAGAGGATGGTGGGCTTTCTGACACGGAACCACTTCTGGGATGAGGCCAGCGGCGCCTGGAGCTGCAGTGCTGAGGTAGCCAATGAATTCTCCATGGTCCTCACTACAGCCGCCTTCTACCACAGGTGCAAATATTGGCCCCGGCACAGGGAGAAAGGGCCACAGGCTCCAGTCCAGACCTACGAGTGGGTGGGTGGATTCCTGCTGTCTAGAGCCAGGGTTCGAGGCCTGGATAAACCTGTTCCCAGTGATGTGATCTTGGGGGTGTCCCCTTGCTTGTTTTTGAGCTGGGCTGGGAAGCTGGTGGGAGCACTTGTCTAGTCAAGCCCTGGGTTCCATCCTCAATACTGAGTAAAAGGGGGCATGATGGCCCACATCTGTAATAGCAGCGCTGGTTCAGTGCAAGCAGGGGGACCAGTTCAAGGTCCCACTCAGCTGGGGAATGAGTTTGAGGTCAGCCTGACCCCGAGACAGGACCCGTCTATGCAGCTCAAGCTGACCTCACTCATACAAGCTTCCCACTTTCCTGAGTGTCGTCTCCCATCCCCAAGCCTGGCTTCTGGGGCATCTTGATAGTGAGTCTTTAATCCATTTAACCCTCGCCCACGTATAGTGGGACTTTTCATAGATTTTCCGAGGGGCTCTGCATGGCGCACTCAGGACAGAGAAGGATAAGCCTCGCGTGTGCAGGGTGGGCCCAGCATGGACACAGCCTCCCTGGAGCTGGTCTTTGGGTAGCCATATTTGATGGTTTTGAACTCATCTACTACTTCCCCTGCCGCCAAGTCTAACTCTGTCAGAGGTCAGACTTGGGATCCCAGAAAGTGGGCCCCAAGGAGGGGTTGGAGGGATAGAGAATAACACAGCATTGCCCATGGCGATCAAAGCCACAGGGCACTTGGAGAACGGGTCAGCTCATGCCCAGGACAGGAGCTCCCTGTGAGAGGAGTTAGGGGATGGGGTACAGGTCTTGGAAAATGGCTTGAGGCCTGGGTCCAAGGAAGAATGGATCCTGTCTGCAACCTTTCCTGGTCTCGCCAGCTGCCTAAGGCTTGCCTTATACCTTACAGGTATTACCACACCCTCTTCACCTACTCCCTGCCTAAGGCCCTGAGGACCATGGCAGATGACACGCCCACCTGCGTGGACATCCTGATGAACTTCCTGGTAGCAACTGTCACTAAGCTGCCCCCTATCAAGGTGCCTTACGGCAGGCAGCTCCGCGAGGCTGTTCCCCTGGTGAGAGGACTCCGGGGACTGGGAAAGCACGGGTTAGGGGGTGAAAAAAAGAGGGCGGATTCTCGTTTACCGTCTACTCCAAATTTTTCTTGCTGCGGTAGGGGTAGGGTTCAGAAAAACACACTTCATGGATACGTTTCCCTCCCACCACTCAGGCCGCTGAGGGACCTGGACCCACGCCAGAGCTTCAGCCTCTGGCTCAGGACTGCTTCAGCAGGGTGGCAGCAGGGTTCGGCCACATGCCTCTAGTGGCCTCTCGAGTGCGTCTGGACCCGGTGCTGTTCAAAGACCCGGTGTCGGTGCAACGCAAGAAGTACCGCAGTCTAGAGAAGCCCTAGGTAAAGCGCGGCGCTGCCTGCTGGACGGGAGAGAACCGATCAAACTGGTAAAGTCACGTCCTGGTTGGCCAATCACGACAGGGTGCCCTGAAGGGCGGGATCTCCCCCTGGCTGTGGCGGGACTGCGTTTGGCACAGGCCAGAGCACAGACTGATCCTGAAATACCTTTCTCTGCATCTCTGCCCGATCCATTCGTGACCCGCATGCCCACTCACCTCCGTGGTGTGGTGCAAAGTCCTCGCACGACTCAACGCTGAGTGCTGGATTGTACCGCCGGCTCTAGGCCGGGCCTGGGAACTCGGGAGAGCGGATCCTACTCTCCTCTTTGGTCTGGCAGGTGCGTCGTAAATATTTGATCTATAGCTACAAGGCTACAAGAGTATATTACCTGGATGCCAGCGTGGCAGAACATGGGCAGTGTGCACGAGACAAAACTCCATCCCCTGCCGTGGAGTTCCTAGTTCACGAAGAAAGCAAACATCCGCAGACACAAAGGTTGCTAGGCTCAATCAAGGGTGAACACAGATGCCAGGAGTGGGAGATAACTGGAGATAGCCAGATTAGCACCACTGCACTACCAACATTGGCCACTAGAGGTCAGCTGTCGCACTGTTCTCCCATCAAAGGACTGGAGTTTAGCTTTGCTTTCTTGAAATTTCTTCCCCCTGTTTTTCGTTTTTCTAGACAGGGTTTCTCAGTGTAATCCTGACTATCCTGGAACTCATTCTGTAGACCAGACTGGCCTTGAACTCACAGAGATTCACCTGCTTCTGCTTTCCAGAGTGCTGGGATTAAAGGCATGCACCACCACCGCCTGACTTTCTTGGTTTTGTTTTGTTTTTTGTTTGTTTGTTTGTTTTTGTTTTGTCTTTTTGAGGATGGGCGTGAGCAAGTGAAACAAAGTCTGACTCTGTAGCCCAGACTTAACTGCCACAGCTTCCCCAAGTGTGACTTACAGGTGTGAGCCGCAATGGAGTTCAAGACTATGGATAAAAGGGCGGGTTGAGCGGAAGTAGAGGGCCCTGGTGTGGCAGCCTCCAGTTTGAAAACTCAGGAGGAATGGACAGAAACCCACCGTGGCCTGCACACTTGGGGCCTGGGCAGTTCGCAGGTGGCTGGTTGAGAGCGAGCTGTCCTCAGCGTCCTGTAGGTGAGAATGGAGTGGGGGGAAGGGACGCTGTTTTTCCTGGGTTCATCCACCTGGAACTGGAATTATCGCTTCCGAAATAAAGCACATGTCTTTGCCCACTCACACTCGGGCTATAAATACCCATACAGCAGCTGCAAGGTGTGGCGGGGCACTCAGGGTCAGCGGGGAGCGGGACTGGGGTGACTCCAGACAGTGGGGGTGGGGGTCTAACCCAGGTCCAAGGTATTGGGTGTTTTCCTCCTTTGACGGCTTGGGCCACTGTGGAAACTCCCATGACTGGGTTGCTGGCTAGAACAGTCTGTCCCTTGAGGCTTCTCACCCCCTTGCTCCAGCTTTACTCCTGGCCCTGTGTGACTCAGGTCCTTCCTGGAGCCTGTCACAGCCCGGTGTGGAAAGTGGGCTGTTTATTGGGAGCGGAAACTGTCAGGTGCTTGGGGTACAAGGGGGGACTGGAGATTAATATGGGGGCCTGGCCCACGGTCAAGAGCAGTTGAGGGTGAGGAATCCGCACAGCTGCAGTCTAGGCAGCGTGCCAAGGACGGAGGGCACCCGGGCCAGGGCCAGCCCCAGGCCGGGAGGCACCTTTGCTGCTGTGGCATGGACGCCCAGGACAATGGGCCGCCTCCCGTCATGTGGAAGACACTGTTGGATTTCAGCTCAGGGCAGTCAAGGCAGGTCTCAACCCCTGCTGTGACAGCCATTGGCCAGGGTATGTGACATATCTACCTCATATCCACGGTGTGACAAGCTCTCTGAACCTTATTTTCTCGTCTATAAAAATGAGAACTGTGAGGGCTGGAGAGATGGCTCAGAGGTTAAGAGCATTTACTACTCTTGCAGAGGACCCTGCCTGGGTTCCCAGCACAAACACCTTTAACTCCTGTTCCAGGGGATCCAGCACCCTCTTCTGGTCTCCATAGGTACCCAAATATGTGGTTCACATATAGATAAGTGCGCGTGCATACACACGTATACACACACACACACACACTTTAAAAGGAAGATGAAGAAGACTGGGAGGTGGTGGTGAATGCCTTTAATCTCGGCACTCGGGAGGTGGATCTCTGTGAATTTGAGGCCAGCCTGGTCTACAAGAGTTAGTTCTGGGACAGGCTCCAAAGCTACACAGAGAAGCCTGGTCTCAAAAAACTAAAAAACAAAACAAAAGGAAGGTGAAGAATAGACCAGCAGCTCATGTCTATAGTTCCAACACTCAGGAGGCTGAGCTTGAGGCAGGGGTGGAAGACCCTCTGAAAGTCCCAGACCAGTCTGGACCACATACACAGCGAGACCTATCTCAAAACATCAGGTCAGCAACTACAAAAAGGACGGTCGTGGCCATCTTGTGAGAGGTACAGAGATGTCCAGTATCCAGAATCTTGGGGGTGTGGAGGCTGAGGGGTGGGCACTTGACTACTTGAGACTAGAGGAGGGCACAGCCGCCAGCAAACTCCCCATCCCAGGGCCACACTGATTTCACAAACCTTGAAGACCTAAAGAACCCCTGAGCCTAAGCCACAGACACCCAGTGACAGTGCTGAAAGGCAGTTGGTTGGTTTGCTATCAGACGGAGAGGGGGTTAAATGAGAGATCAGGGGTGGTTCATGGTCCATGTTGTAATCAGGAGGCTGAGGCAGGAGGATGGGACTTACAGGCTAGCATGGGCTGTCTAAAATCAAAAATTGAAAAAGCCAGATGTCTCTGTTATACACCTGTAATTCCAGCATTTAGGAGGCAGAGGCAAGAGGATCAGAAACCGGGCCAGTCAGACTGCTCTGTGGGTGCAAGCATAAGACAGGTAACCTGAATCCATCCCCAGAACCCACGGTGCAAAGAGGGCCACTTCCTAAAAGTCGTCCCCTGTCCCACACATGCACCACGGAACACAAATGCCACACTTGGGCACAGATACACAATGGTTAAGAGCACAGGCTGCTCTTCCAGAGGACCTGGGTTCAATTCCAGGCACCCATACGGCAGCTTACACCTGTCTGTAACTCCAGTTCCAGGGCTTCTGACACATGTCACACAGATATACATACACCAGGCCAAACAAAAACAAAAATCCCAATAATCATAAAATAAAAAGATTACAAATGCCTGCCTTTTATTTTTAGAAATGTGGTGCTGTTGATGGAGGCCGACACTTAGCCTCTCCTCTTACCTGCCAAGGCTGGGAAGCTGGCCTGGTCCTTCCCAACAGCATCAACTGCAGATCCCTTTCCCAGGACACTGATCAAAGTGACCAATACACAACCACCAGGATGTGGCAGGCTCCGCTGTCTTCACAGTCCTGTAGGGGTGGTGTCCCGAAGTTTCTGGTCTGTGAGTCAAATGCCTGAGAAGTGACAGCCCTAAATACTGGCCTACAACAAACGTACACACTGGCCTAGGGCTTCCTAAGTAGGCTTGTCACCTGTGAGACAGGGCACAGGTCTCTCTCTCTGCATCTTGTAATGGCAAGCTAGTTATAAGGGTTCTTCACCCAGACTCCAAGAACACCCTTCCTTGTTGGCCGCTGGGTACATCCTCATCCCTAGATTCTAACGAGCTCAGGTCATCATCCAGGCAACAGAGCTCCATCTACAGTCTCCTGTGACAGTATCATGCCTAGGGAGGTGGCCTTGTCCTGAAGGTCTCAACTGGAATGTGTCCCGGCCTGCTACCTGTGTCAAGACAATGGCTACACTGATAGTTTCCTGGGCTGGGATACCAGCAAGGAAGAAACCAGTCAGGCTCTTCCTTATTAAGAAGCCTCCTCCTCCAGGAAGTCACATGGGGCCCACAGCCAAATTGACCAAGACAGAGAAGCCTCAGGTGCTCTCTGGACCCACATCTCAGGGTGATTTGTACGAACGAAGTCACTATGGCTTTGGTAAGCTATATGGCCAGAGGCAGGGGCTCCCAACCACCATGGTTCATGAGGTAGTTGATGGGGAAAGCAAGCCAGGGGGGGAGCTCCTTGAGGCCAGTCTCCTAGAAGCAAATTCCTCTCAGTCAAAAGGATGGAAACTGCCAGGTAGTGGTGGTGCACACCTTTAATCCCAGCACTCTGTGAGTTTGAGACCTGTCTGGTCTACAGAGCGAGTTCCAGGACAGTCTCCAAAGCCAAGGAGAAACCCTGTCTCAAAAAACTGGAAAAAAGAGAAAAAGAAAAGAAAAAGAAGAATGGAAACTAAGTTCTTCTCCTGGCCCAGGTGAAGATAGAACATTCTAAGCTGCTCTGAAGACTGGAACAACATTATATACCACACCCCTCCCTCGAGGGCAGCTCAGGCCTCACAACCTGTCATGGATCCCAGGAATTCACATAAAGGTGAAGAGAACCAACTCCAGAGTTATCCTCTGACCACCACACATTCTTTTTAGAGTTCATTCAACGGGACCTGACAGTCACCCAAAGATGTGCTGAGAAACTGAAAGGAATGGTTATCCCCTAAACAGGGCACTATGGCTCTCTGCCCCGCCCCCACATACAAGACAATCACAGACCTCAACTGCTAAGGCAGCCTGTTTTCCCAAATTCTAACTCAAAAAGCCTGATTCCCCTTTTTATCTCTTCATTTTTCATCTTTAAATTTGTGTGTGTGTGTGTGTGTGTATGTCTGTGTGTATCTGTCTGTGTGTGTGACTGTCTGTGTGTCTGTGTGTGTATATGTGTGTGACTGTCTGTGTATCTGTGTGTGTGTGTGTGTCTGTTTGTATCTGTCTGTGTGTGTATCTGTGTATGTCTATGTGTCTGTATCTGTGTGTGTGTGTGTGTGTGTTCCTGGAGGTCACGTCCTCCACTGCTCTCACTGAACCTAGGTCGCACAAATGTGGTTAAAGTATCCAACCAGCAAGCCCCAGGGGTCCTATTTCCACCTCTCACTAGGTACAAGGTGCAGAGCATCCAAACCTAAGTGTTGCATCTATCTGTTCCGTGTGGCAGCACACTCTAGCCAGAAGCATCTGCCCAGCTCCTGTGTTTTGTCTTTGGAAACTGAACAAAACCCTCTGCATACTAAGCCTCTCCCTGTCTCTCCAGTCCCTTCCCCAGTACAGCCACTCAGCTGTTTTCACAACTCCATTGCTGACCCTAACTCAAAGGTGTGGTCTTTCTTCCTCCTCCTCCCTGCAGCTGCTGAGTTACAGCTTGCCTGGACTCGGTGTTTTTCCCCCGATTTTTAATAAAATAGTCTTTGAAGCATCCTTCTGAGTCGGATTCAAAATTCTTTTATCAAAAAAAGTAACTGATCGTGCAAAGGGGAGTCAACTTCCCAGTGATGTGTGTCTTCCTTCTTCAGTATTTTTGTTCAAGACACAAAGACCCTGGATAGTACAGGTGACCCCAGAGTCCCCTTCTGTGTCTCTGCAATCCAGCTGTGATGTGAGGACAACATCAGTTGAAGATCCAGCCCAAACATCCCCGGAGAAGTACGGCCTCATCTGCCTCATCCTCATCCTGTGGACTCACAGGAGGCCACGAAGGGTCCCACTGGCTGTGCCTTGAGCCTGGTGTCCTGGCTGGACATTCGATGCGCCACCCACAGGTCCTGGCCATGCCTCCGATGGTGTCTGGCCTGACAGTCAGTCTGAGGGGCCTTGGCATTCCTGGCAGTCCTTCATCTCTTCAGAGTAGTTCTCAATTTGGATGGTCATGATGTGGAAATTGAACTTCCCCTGAAGACGGTCCCTAGCCACCTTCAGCACAGCCTGGGGGTCAGCATGCTGAGCTGGGAAGAGAGAAACATGGGATGCTTGGCCTCACGTCTACCCCTCGACTAGGAGACAAGAAATGCCGGGGGCTATCCCTGCACCAGGCAAGCCGAGAGAGCAAGAAAAGACTGGTCTTACAGCTTGGATCTGTCCCCATCCACTCACCCGCTTGCTCCTGTACAGGTGATCTGACCACCCCAAGCAAGGCCTCAGTTATCTTCCTCCATAAACGCAGTGGGAAGGATCAAAGGGCATTTCAATGCTCAGCACATGGCCAGAGCTTGGCAAACCCTCAGGAATGGCCCCAGGCCCCTGGCTGCTTCTCTCTCCACTTTAACTCACCGATAGCTATGTGGACAGACAGCACCGGCTGGGCCACTGTCAGCGCCCAGATATGCAGGCTGTGCAAGGCTTCCACCCCATCCACGGACAGCAGGAGATTCTTCACGGCTGTGAAGTCCACACCTTTGGGAGTCCCTGGGGACAGCACGCACAGTGGTAAAGGTCATTACCCTCCGCCCCACTCCATTCCTCCAGGGCCATCTGCGCAGAAGGCCTCCTTGGCCAGCAGGTTCCACATGGTTCCCATCCCTCACTCTATCCTGTTGTATCAACTGGAATGATCTCATGAATTTATCTATTGTGTCTAGAATGGAAACTGAGAGCATGAGTCTGTTTTGTTCACAGCTATATGGTCAATATCTATATGTTTTTTTAGATGGAGTCTTGCTATGTACCCCAAGCTGGTCTCAGACCCAAAATTCTGCTTCAACTTCCTGGGTGCTGGGATTACAGGTATAGATGGCCCCACCAGGCCCTTCCAGGCCAGCGATCTTGTTGAAGACAGTTTTGGAGCTAAATATTCCTGCCAAGCCTAGGCCAGCACCCCACTCTTCCACTGTCCCTGACCCTCCAGAAAGCCATGGCTTGGGTCTAAGCCCCAAGGCCTGAAGTGTGAGATAGGCCTGTGGATTAGAGTGGAAGTTCCAGGCACGCCATTCACCAGCTGAGGCAGGAACAGGGTGTGGGCTCTGAGACTTGTGGGAAGGGACTGAGCTGGTGTGGGTCCACTCAGCAACTGTGGCGGTGCACACCGACACTTCCAACACGGGGGAGGCCGAGACCGTCCAGTCTGAGCTGCAAACAGAGACCTGTCTCAAACAATAAGGGATTGGAGAGATGGCTCAGAGGTTAAGAGCATTAGCAACTCTTCCAGGGGTCCTGAGTTCAATTCCCAGCAATCACATGGTGGCTCTCAACCATCTACAATGAGATCTGGTGCCCTCTTATGGCATGCAGGAATATATGCAGGCAGGACACTGTATACCTAATAAATAAATCTAAAATACAAAAACAGTGTTTAAAAAAAAAAAAAGCAACAGAGGATTAGAGAGATGGATCAGCTGCTCTTCCAGAGGATCGAGGTTCAGTTCCCAGCACCCTTTGGCCCTAGCACTAGGAAGGTAGAGGTAGGCAGTCTTCTATGAATTTGGTGTCAGTCTGGTCTACATAGTGAGACCCTGTCTCAAAAATGAAATTTAAAAAAGTTCCTAGTTTCTAGGTGTGGTGGTGCACGCTTTTAACCCAGCGCTTGGGAGGCAAGACTTGGATGCCAACCTGGTCTTGAGTTCTAGGCCAGCCAGGGCTACAGAAAGAGACCCTATTTCAAACCCCACCCCACCCGCAACAAAAAACAAAAACAACCCAAACATTGGAACCAAATCCCTAACTTCCTGGGAAAGTCACCTGATGACTAGGGTGGGGGTGGGGCTCCAGGTGTTACCAAGGCCACCCAGCCATGTGACCAGCCAGGGATGACACACATACTCCACACAAGGGAGGAGGCAGCCCTGGGCCTGGGGGAGGGCAGGCACTGGCTGGGACCTGTCTAGGAACTGGCACACCTTTACCTGGTCGGCTCAGAACTCTGAGGACCTATGTTAAAGGTTCCAGACCCTGACTCGAACCCTAGAGCAGTGGTTCTTCAAACATCCACACAGTCCCTGAGTCACAGGCTGAGACCCCCAAAGTCAGGCTGGGGAGATACTTCAGCTGCTAACCGTGCTAGAGGCCTGCTAGATACCCCAGAACTAAGCACGCATGTACCCATGCATGCATGGTAGTGCACACTTGTAACCCCAGACAAGGAAGGCGGAGATGGGCAGATGTCTTGGGACTGATTGGCCAGCCAGATTAGGGTGATGGCTGGGCAGTGGTGGCGCACGCCTTTAATTCCAGCACTTGGGAGGCAGAGGCAGGCGGGTCTTTGTGAGTTGGAGGCCAGCCTGGTCTACAGAGTGAGTTCCAGGACAGTCAGAGCTGTCACACAGAGAAACCCTGTCTTGAAACCCCCCTCCACTATCAACCTTGGGTGTCTATACACGTTCAACAGATGAACACAGACATCTGCATACACCCACCCCACCCATAAACCCAAAGGGCCGTTACCTTCCATGAGAACCAAGATCACATCTCTTAGGATGGTCAATGTGGTCCCCAAGACCAGCATGGAGAAGAGGAACGTGCAGATGGGGTCCACGTACTTGTACTCAGGCTGCAGGGAAAGGAGACAGATGTGGGCTCACCAGCATCCACTTGGGGCTACGTTCTTCCCTCCTACCAGTACAGAACCGGGGAGGGCCTCTCTTTTCAGGGTGAGCATGGGAGTTGCTCTGGCCTTGTCTTTTCCAATTTTCTACTCTATTCTCCATTGGGACGACCTCAGCACACATCTCTTCCTAAAGAGCTGAGACACAGCAGGAGCTAAAGGGGATTGTTAGCATTTGATTCACCATTCCCATTTTATAGATGGGGAAACTGAGGTTCGATGGGACCAAGTAATTCATTCATCACACAGCCTCAGCCACTCTCGTGGCTCATTTTACATCTCACTGCCTCTGTGTGATAGGCAGTGCTCAGGCTTCAGCAACACTGTCATGGGTTTAAATCTGGCTTTTGTAAAACTATACAAGTAACGGAACCTCTCCGAATGGCATAAAGCACAATCGTCTACCTTTCAGGCTTGTCGTAGAAGTAAAAGGTGCCAGCCTCACTGTGTCAGGATTAAATAAACATTCCTCCCCTTTCGTACCCCCTCATCCCAACCTGAGAGCTAGCATGGGGGCAAAGCCTGCACAGAGGAGCCTCAGGTACCACCCCACCTCGCTCTCTGTGCCCAGCACTGACCTTGAAGTATATAATGTAGGCAGCCACCAGGACACCCAGACTCTGCAGAAGGTCCCCAATCACATGGATGAAGGCTGCTCGGACACTAGGGTTCTCCTGCTGCTGCTGGCTCTCTTCATGGCTTTGGTCACCAGGGCTGTGCCCATGTCCATGGCTCTGCCCCTGTCTGTGGCTGTGCCCATGTCCAGACTGATGAAGGGTCAACCCCATTCTATGGAAACAGACAAAGCTCAATGGAGTAGCAAAGGTTTCGTGTCAGCCAGGCACAGTCGACCCTACCCATTAGGGCTGACCTCCCTGAGGGTGAAACTCTGAAGCCCCCAGCACAGTGACTTTCTTAGGATCAGGAATCTGTTCTGCAGCCTTGGCTCATAGCCACAGGGCAAAGAGTTCTGCCCACAATGGAAGGCTGACTGGGCACAAAATCCCAGCGTTGAATTTCAGAGCAAAGGGGCAGGAAGGAAGTCATCTGGTTCATCCCATCACGCCACAGCAGGGACCCCGAGACAGGCACGCAGAGGAGACGGAAGGCCCACACCTATGTTCCTTCCACCCAGCCCCCTCCCTCTTTTACCGAGACCAGTTTCAGCATGTCAGCTTGATTTGGTCTTTGGTCCAGCATGAACCAGATGCGTCCCCTTTGCTGTGGATAGCCTGAGTTATTCTCCAGGACATGTAACATGGAGGGGGGGTTGGGATGGTAGGGGTGTGTGTCTATAACCTCTCGTGTCCTTGGCCGAACATTTAAAGCAGGACCCATGTATACAGGTGCCAGAGTTCAGGCCATGAGTGAGATTCAGTGCTGGAAGGGAAGCATGGGCTCCTTTCCCTGGCAGCTGACAGAGGTTTGCATATAAGGAGGTGGGGGTCAATTACAGGGAACTGGGTCACACTCACATGATGTTCACAGCCACCGCACAGCCCGACGTGATCAACATGGTACCGCCTTTGATCTCATAGTCTCCAGAAATCAAGCGCTGCACAGCCAGGTACACCAGCACCCCAGTCACCACCCAGATGGACAGCACAGACACCAAGGCTCCAAGGATCTCTAGATAAGAGCCCAACCACAAGAACAACCTTAGCCTGGGCCCTAAGGGTAGAAAGGTCTACTCCCTCCTGTTAGCCCTTCCCTGTTATAAAGTCAGAGCCTGGGTGTCTTTGGTGTTTGCTGAAGAAATGCCTCTTCCCGACAACTCATACATGAGAGCTCATATCTAGAAAAAAAATCATCTAGCTCAACCCTGTTTGCTGTATGTGGGAAGAAATTGACATATTACATATATAATATACATTATATATTATGTATATATGTACATACACACATACATATATTTTCTAGCCAAAATGGTGGCAGACATCTCTAATCCTAGAATTTGGGGTGCTAAGCAAGAGAACTGCCTGAGTTTGATGCTTTCCCTTTTATATGTTTTTTGTGGTCTCATTGTGTAGATCAGGCTAACCTTGAACTCGAAATTCACCTGCCTCCACTTCCCTTGTGTTGGGATTAAGGGTACATGCCTAATTTTCCTGCCCAAATAAAGGCAAGGTCACTACCTAATTAATTAAGGTAACAGAAGAGGGCCCAAATTCCCCAGAGCTAGAGCTATAGTTACAGCCAAGAGTAGTCGGCACTAGCCGGGCGGTGGTGGCGCACGCCTTTAATCCCAGCTCTCGGGAGGCAGAGGCAGGCGGATCTCTGTGAGTTCGAGGCCAGGCTGGACCGACAGCCTCCAAAACAATACAGAGAAACCCTGTCTCGTAAAAACCAAAAAAAAAAAAAAAAAGAGTAGTCGGTGCTAACAGCAATGCCATCTCTCCCTAGAGGAAAGTGACAGTGCCACCCGGAAGGGAACTAGCAGCTTAAGGGAGTTTCCCTGCCCCAAAGCTGACCCATAGAGACAGGCGATGCTAGTGCTGCTGTCATCTGCTCTGAGCCACTACTTTCTTTTTTTGTTTGTTTGTTTTTTGATGTTTGTTTTTCGAGATAAGGTTTCTCTGTATTGTTTTGGAGGCTGTCCTGGAACTCGCTATGTAGACCAGGCTGGCCTCGACTCAGAGATCCGCCTGCCCCTGCCTCCCGAGTGCTGGGAGTCTGTCCCATCAGACTGGGAGTCCTCAGAGGGTAGAGGCCAAGACAGACACTCCCTGTTTTGGTTTAACTCCAGGCATTCCTGTGATGGCACAGGCCTTAATTTCAGTCCTTGGGAGGCTGTGACATTAGAGTTACTGAGTTTGGGAGGTGCAGACAAGAGGATCAAGGATTTCAAGGGCAGCTTTGGTTACTCAATATATTCAAGGCCAGCCTGGGCTACTAGAAATGCTAAAAACCCTATCTAACCTGAGCTGTGCTTTCTCTCTTGATCACCCCATCTGTGGACCACAAAGATCCTTACCAGCTCGTTGCCAGCCGAAATTCATGGTCTTGGTGGCCGGGCGGGAAGACACCCAGAGGGAGAAGAGGCTAATGAGCATGCTGGCAAAATCGGTGAGCAGGTGGGCTGCGTCAGTCATAATGGCCAGGCTGTGTGCCAGGTACCCTCCTGCAAAAGTGAGAGCCAGGTGAAGCTCCCCGCAAAGAGGTAACCCCAACTCTGCACAGCAGGGAGACCACACGCCCTGGAAGACACAGGCTCAAGATCTCTGCATCCATCAGGTGGGCAACATGAGCATGAGACCGCCACATTGAGCCTCGATTTCTGACATTTTCTTTCTTTCTTTCTTTTTTTTTTTTTGGTTTTTTGAGACAGGATTTCTCTGTATCATTTTGGAGGCTGTCCTGGAACTCACTCTGTAGACCAGGCTGGCCTCGAACTCACAGAGATCCGCCTGCCTCTGCCTCCCAAGTGCCGGGATTAAAGGCGTGCGTCACCAACGCCCGGCTTTCTGACATTTTCTTACAGGGTGAGTGTGAAAATCCAGTTCAGGCAGTGGTGGCGCACGCCTTTAATCCCAGCACTTGGGAGGCAGAGACAAGCCAACCTCAGAGTTTGAGGCCAGCCTGGTCTACTACAGAGAGAGTTCCAGGACAGCCAGGACTACAGAGAAACCCTGCCTTGAAAAAAGGAGGAGAAAGAGAGATCAAGTTCAATTAGAGACAGGAAAACAAAGTAGGAGCTCAGTAAGTGCTCTTACCTTTTTTTGTTTTTGTTTTTGTTTGTTTGTTTGTTTGTTTTCGAGACAGGGTTTCTCTGTATTGTTTTGGAGGCTCTCCTGGAACTCGCTTTGTAGACCAGGCTGGCCTCGAACTCACAGAGATCCGCCTGCCCCTGCCTCCCAAGTGCCGGGATTAAAGGCGTGCGCCACCACCGCCCGGCCTTATTTTCATTATTAAGTGTGTATTGCCTACACATATGGACGTGCACCATATGCCTGCTATCCACAGAAGCCACAAGAGGACATCTGATTCCCTGGGACTAGAGTAACAGGCAACTGTGAGCCACCCGTTTGGGTGCTGGGAATCAAGCTTAGGTCCTCTGCAAAAACAGCCAGTGCTCTTAACTGCAGAGCCATGCTATAACCAGCTGATCGACTTAAGAATAAATCAGCCCAGTGATGGTGGCGCACACCTTTAATCCCAGCACTTGGGAAGCAGAGGCGGGGTGATCTACAGTAGGAGTTACAACAGCCATAGATATACAGAGAAACCCAGTCTTGAAAGCCAATAGACAAATAAAAATTGATGGGTGTGGTATCACACACCTTTAATTCCATCACTCTGGAAGCAGAGTTCCAGGCTAGCCAATGATAGTGAGACCCTGTCTTAAAAACAGAAAAGAAAAGGCCGGGCGTTGGTGGCACATGCCTTTAATCCCAGCACTTGGGAGGCAGAGGCAGGAGGATCTCTGTGAGTTCGAGGCCAGCCTAGTCTACAGAGAGAGTTCCAGGACAGCTTCCAAAACAATACAGAGAAACCCTGTCTCGAAAAAACAAAAACAAAAACAAAAAGAAAGAAAGGGAAGGGATAGTCATTAGTATCTGTAGCATTAGTGGGAGCATTCAGCCTATCTAAGAACCAAGTTCACTTAATTCACACACATGGTCTTACCAATGATTTCTCCTATCATGAACACCAGGCAGATGGCAGAGGCCACATAGAGCTTGCGCTGGGCCTTCTGCCTCTTGGAGTCAGGGTGACTACCGGAATCTCTCTGGGCATGGCAATAATGGTTGCTCTGGACAGCCAGCTCAACCGCGGGCAGGTCCACAGGAGGGGTCCAAGCAGCCTCACTCTTCCACAGCGATCCTAAGAATGACCTGGAGGTGGGGGAAGGAAAGAGAATGCTCAGGCGGGAGGTGGGAGCCCAGAGCCAGCCTCTGGGAGTACTGCAGGTCCGGTGTTTCCACTGTGCCAATGTTACAGGGGGATGCTAGGGAAGTGAGTCTTGGGACCTTGTTCTAGGCTGTTCCCTCCTCCTCTCCCCTTCCCTGGCCTAGAGAGTCTTTACAAACTAGCTAAAGCGCAGGCCGTCCAGTCGAGCGCAGAGAAAGAGCAGACTCAAGAGACCAGCACGGAACACAGCGCAGCGCACCCGAGGGCACTGGGCCTCCCCACCTCAGGGCTGCTTGGGATCAAAGTGCTGGAGTGAAGGCGGGGTAAGAGGCACCCGACCGTGTCCCACTGGAGCGAGCGCACCGGCAGGCAGCGTTCAGAATCTGTGTGCTTGGCCAGATGAGACAGGTGATCCCTGAGGCTACGAGGCCACAGCCAATTTCCTCTTTCCCTTACCTCACCCCATCCTTCTGGCGGGAACCCAGGTTCAAGCCCCCGGCCGGACCAACCACAGCCAGGACGGCCAAAGAGGAGGTGCCTGTGATGCCGCCCAGATTCCCGCCCCGCGGGGCTTGAATTTACCGGGCCCCGCTCGTGCTCTCCAACAGGTTCTGCTTGTCCAAGGACGGCATGCCGCCTCTGCTGTGCGTCCTCGAAGTTGCGCTCCAGAGGATGTCAGCGCGCACTCGCCTTCCGCTCGGGTCTCGCCGCTGCGTCCCGCGCACGCCCGCTTTATCCCCGGCCCTCGCCCCGGGTGAAGCCGCCCGCCGCGCGTCGTGTGCAAAAGCCCGCGGGGAGGGGGAAGGGTGGCCGGCTGCAAAGGGAATCGCGGCTCTGCCCCCAGCTGTGGTCCCCTGCGTCTCTGAGCCTGAAGGAGCCAGTGGCCTGGCACCGAAAGCTTAAGGGCCTTTGCCTGGAGCAAAGCACTTGCTAAAAGTTGCCTAAAGTTACTAAATTATGGGCATCTCATTCTTTAATCCCAGCACTCCGGAGAGGAGGCAGAGGCAAGCGCATCTCTGTGAGTTCGAGGTCAGCCTTGTCTACATAGTAAGTTCCAGGACAGCTAGGGCTTTGTTATGTAGAGAAAACCTTTCTCGAAAAAGTGAGTGAGAGAGAGAGAGAGAGAGAGAGAGAGAGAGAGAGAGAGAGAGAGAGAGAGAGAGAGAGACAGAGACAGAGACAAAGACAGAGACACACAGAGACAGAGAGACAGAGACACACAGAGACAGAGAGAGAGAGAGAGAGAGAGAGAGAGAGAGAGAGAGAGAGAGAGAGAGAGAGAGAGAGAGAGAGAGAGAGAGAGAAGGCAAAAGGAAAGGGGGGTGACTCCTGAGGCTAGGTCTGGCTTCCAGCTAGGAAGAGAAACTTCCTGAAAGTTTGATCCATTTTCTTTTCTAGGGAGTGACACTCGCGGTGGGCTGGGGTGCACCTGACCTCTGGCTGCCAGGCCCTCCCTCTGTGGGGGGGGCGGTACCCCATCATAGTACTGCTGGAGTTACAGACCCAAACTTGGCTTTGAAGGTCACCATTCCTCCTGCCTGGCGCTCCGGTTAGGATCCGGAGTGGCTGGCTTTTCTCCACCTCTACGAAGAGCAGCGTCTTGTCTCATTAACCGAAGCTATCTGGGGATAACCGCCACTGCAGACAGCCTTTCCTCACACCCCAGAAACTCAACAAATTCCTGGGAGATGGCTGTGGGGCCAAATGTAGTTGCCAGAGTGACGCCCCACATGTTCTAAATAGTCCATAGTCCACATTTTCTGGAGTTTGGAGCCTATGGCCCCCCAGTGCCGGCCTCTGATAGGTATCTCCTTCTAGCTGGTGACCCCCCTACTCAGTCGCTTCATCTGCTGGGTCTTCAGGATCACAGCAGGTATATTTGGGGATGCAGCTTGTTGACAGACTGTTCATGCACAAGGCCTTGGATCCTATCCCCAGTACCCACTGGGAAAGAGAAGGAAGGATGGGCCTCATAATGGCTATTAGCCCTGGCTAGAGTGAGAGACTTTGCCTCAAGGCGATGGGGGCAGGACTGGGCAGGACAGGACGAGGGCTGTGCTTGCCTTACACGAATGAAGCCTAAGTTCCATCCATACCACACACACACACACACACACACACACACACACACACACACACACACACACACACACACGCTCGTAATTCCACTCTGCAGAGGTACAAGGGCAAAGTTATCAGAAGTTCAAGGTTATCATTGGCTATAGAGCAAGCTTGGGCCTAGCCTGGGGTACTTCAGACTTGTACCCCAGACTTGTCTCAAAACACAACAACAATAAACCCACTCTGAATCTCAGAGGAATGGGTGACAGAACAAGTATTACTGGGCACAGTGCATGGGCCTATAATTCACTGATCTGGAAGTGAGGACCAGAGACTCTTTTCTCCTGTGATCTCCAGTGGTCTCCCCAGCTTAGCACGCAGAACCTAGGTGGACACTTAAACATCTGTGAAGTTAGACTAAAACAAACAGGAGAACCTGACATGGTTGCACATGCCTGTAATCGCAGGAACCAAGGAGCCTCGGGCAGAAAGATCTCAAGTTTGAGGCTAGCTGAGCAATTTGCTTGGACCCTGTCTCAAAGTAAAAAAGAGCTGAGGTGTGAGCTAAGTGGTAGAGTTGTCTCCCACCGCGCACAAAGCCTTGGGTCAAGCCCTGGTGCTATAAACATGAATTAGGTGAGAGGCGGCAAGTGCTGTTTGGAGGCATTTCTATAGGATAACCACAGATTACTGTCGGATTGTAAGGTGGAAAAATTATGACAGTGTATCATATCACTCATTTTCTCCTCAATGCAAAGTGTATCATAATTCTCAATGTTTTGTTTTTGTTTTTTCGGACAGGGTTTCTCTGTGTAACAGCCCTGGCTGTCCTGGAATTCACTTTGCGGATCAGAGTGGACTCAAACTCACAGAGATCCGCCTGCCTCTGCCTCCCGAGTGCTGGGATTAAAGGCGTGTACCACCACTGTCCAATTCAGAAGATTTATTTAAATTCCACATTTCTGATGGTGCATATAACCCAGCCTGGCTAACTTGTGACTGTTTCAGCATCCTGAGTGATGGGAGGGATTACAGGCTAATGCCCCACTACCCACCCATCCTATTCCTTCCCAAGGAAGGCAGAAGAAACCAGACTCGTCTTAGGGTAGATCATAGACAGTTTTGTTTTTGAGACGGGATCAAGGTAGCCCAGGCTGATCTTGAATTTGCTGAGGGTGGCCCTAGAGCCACTGAGCCTCATGCCTTGTCCTCCCACCAGAAGCCACAGACATTCTAATCTCCCCGACTTCTGTCTAGGAGCTGGCCTGAGTCCTCTGGCCTGATGGACCAGAGGGGCCCTGCTTGGTATCTGGGATGAGAAAAGTGCACAGACAGGCTTTGCTGGATATCCCCACCTGGCTGTTAACTTCAGGTCTCACTCTTTTCATCCAATCAAATCCTCAGGGTTGTGATTTAATTGTGTTTACATGAGGACATTTCCAATATAAAAAAACACAAAAGGACAGAGTTCCAGAAGCTTCTTAAAGTCAAACACAGGAAGGTTCCTGGAAACTTCTGTGCCTGGAGAGGGCATGGAGTGTCTCCACCCCTCCCCATAAGCCCTGCCCTCTGTCCCTTTTCTATATCCTTTGTGGAGAATTCATAAGTGCTAAGTTAGCATTTCCCTGGGTTCTTAGCAACTCTATGGTACTCAAACAGGGAAGCGGTGAGAAAATAAAACCTGGGGCTTGTTCTTTGCATCAAAAGAGAAGGGGGATTGTCTTGAAGACCAAGCACTACAGGTAGATTGAATTGCACTTGTGGACAACCTGCTGTGGTTCGCTGCAAAATTAATTTCTTGCCTGGTGTGTGCATCTGGTGTCTGAAGAGTTTTATCAGGAGAAATTGCATTTGAAGTTGGCTTTTCCATGTATCCTCAGAAAAGATATTTTTGTTTTTAGTTTTTCAAGACAAGGTTTCTCTGTGTAGCTTTATATACCAGGCTGGTCTTGAACTCACAGAGATATGCTTGCCTCTTCCTTCGAGTGCTGGAATTAAAGGTGTGTGCCACCAACTCCCGACTCAAACAATTTCAATTGATTTGCAAGAGTTTGTGCTGAGGATATAGCTCAGTGACGGAGTGATTGGCTAGCATTCCTAGGGCCCTGGCTTAAATTCCGAAACACACATACTCATGCATGTGCGCTTGCACGAGTACACACACACACACACACACACACACACACACACACACACGCTCACCTAACAAAAAAATTGCATTTAAAACTTCAACAAGGGCACTGGAGAGTCAAGGGAGTCAGTGGTTAAAAAAGCTCACTGCTTTCCTACACCTTTAATCCCAGCACTCGGGAGGCCAAGGCTGGCCTATCTCTGTGAGTTTGAGACCAGAATGATCTACAGAGTGAGTTCCAGGACAAACAGGGTGAAACAAAGACCCTGTCTGGAAGGCAGGGAGAGGGCTTCAGTTCCCTCCATAAGTAGTGAGGGCCACAGGGAGACGCTCTTTTTTTTTTTTTTTTTTTTTTTGGTTTTACGAGACAAGGTTTCTCTGTATTGTTTTGGAGGCTGTCGGTCCAGCCCGGCCTCGAACTCACAGAGATCCACCTGCCTCTGCCTCCCGAGTGCTGGGATTAAAGGCATGCACCACCACCGCCTGGCGGGAGATGCTCTTAGATAAGAGATGTGCCCAAAAGAGATCAGCTGACCTCCCAGAAAGAAACTCAACTGCCTGGGAAGGCCCCCCTGCAACCTGCTGAGCTGACAGAATGCCTTGCTTTACGTTCCAGGCTTCCAACTTTGTTGACCTGACCCCAGGCTGAAGAGGGATTTTAGTGATGCAGCTATCAGTGATTTCTGTACCTGGAAGTAACCTTTCACCCACCTTCCTGGAAGTAACCTTTCACCCCCTTCCTGGAAGTAACCTTTCACCCACCTTCCTGTAAGTAACCCCAATAAAGCTCGTCGCTTCATCAGGTTGGCAAGATTAGGAACTGTAATGCCTGTTCTCTAGTCAGGAACTTGGAGGGGTGAGGTGAAGACAGCATGTGCACCAGTTATGTGATGTGATTTCGAGGAGGTGGGGGCGTCTGTCTTCATTGTCTAATTATTTAGCCACTTTTGAGACATAATCTCCCTGTATATCCCAGGCTGGCTTGACTCTCAATCTACCTGCCTCAATGTCTTCAGTGCTGGGATCAAAGGTCACTATGCCCCGCCTCTCTCTTTCTGGCCTTGAAAACCTTTAACATTTTCTGCAGAATACTTGAAAATAGGACAGTAAAGCAGACTCATCAGATAAAGCTGAACACCACCAAAGCTAATGACCTGAGTTCCACCCCTGGTACCCACATGGTGGAGGGAGATAACAGACTCCTTGTGAGTTTTCCTCTGACCTCCACATGTGTGCTGAGGCAGGGGCTTCCTCTCCCCCTGCCACACACAAAATGTGAATAAAATATAAAAAAGTCTGTAAGAAAGATATGTGCTTTTGGCCAGAGCTGCCATCTTCCAGTAATTTGACAATGTTAAGTTTCAGACCCAGGACAAATGGCTGAGGTGTCTAACCTATCAAAACAGACCTGGCTGCCACATTCTCCCAGCATTCTCCAGTCCCTACGCAGTGTAGGATATGGCACCCACACCCCACCTCTTACCTGAACTTTCCAGCCCTGGGACTGGGCCACCCTTCCCCCAGAGGCTTTTCCCTGTA